CATATTATATAAACTTTTAAAAAGTAAGTTAAATTTAAAGAAAAACAAAGTTGCAAACAACGACATAATTCTTTAATGTAAAACTACACCCATATAGGGTATACTTTTATCTAAAGGCGGAGGAGTTACAGTCGCCTTATCACTAAGACTGCATTTCAGCCAGACGCAATTCAGCATCTTATTGTCTATTGTTTAGTTCATAAGATTGTTTTCCTTATCATGCAAACCCAAGATCACAAGCATTCTCATCCTGTACTCGCTTTAATAAAGTCGTTTTTAAAAACACGTTTGTTCGAGACCACATAGTAACTATATATTTAATTTTTAATCAGGTTCTACATTGAATTCAAAGTATTTTTTGTATAACATACTATGCGACTGAATTCCATAGTATTGAACAAAGCGGCGTTTAAAACATGGGATCGCAACAAAAGTAAAAACTCTATGATTATTTTTTTAAATAATAATAATCGACCATATAATTTTAAAGGAACATTAAAACAAATGGTCTGTTTTTTGTTTTTGTTTTATTCTGTTCTCAAATTACATCTTATTTTATTTTAAAATTAATAATAAAGTTTACTTTTGTTACGTTCCCATATTAAAACGCCGCTATGTCCAAAACCATTGAATTAATTCACATAGTATTATATGTATATATATGATTTGTTATTTATATATAAAATACTTCGAATTCAATCTAGAACCTGAATCTCGATTCCGGTAGGCGGTTCCATAAAAAAAATAAACTTTGCCATCATAACTTTATTTTGAGCTACCCTGTATATTTAAAAGTAGCAGAAACAAATGCTCTGGCGACAACCACAACACTTTTATATAAACGGTTTTTTTTAATCGCTATGAGGAGAGGGTGGATGATGTTAAAAGAACAGCCGGACGAAGATGGTACCATACAGCAAAACATGGAAACAAATGAAAAAGGCCTTTGTTCAAGAGTGGACAGATAATGGCTGACAAATAAGAAGAAGAAGAAGAAAAATATAATTTTTAATGATATAGAAAACTTGAACAAAATTCACGTAATGGGAGGATAGATTAGTCCACAAAGTTTTATACAAAGAGTGAAGACAACTGAATTCTGTTCAACTGAGAATAGTGATTAATTTGCACTTTCATCAATAACGTTCTTAATTTTTAAAAAATATAAATCTTAGTTGCCCCTTTCAGCTGTTAAAGTGAAACACATACACAGATGGATTACAACAGTGCAGCCTAATTCACGGTCTAATGTTTCGCTAATACCTCAATTTTCAGTGACGATTTTTTAAACTATTTTTGCTTTACTTTACTACATTATCTGTACAGCAATGACATAAATTTTGGATGCCCTCGCATAATCAAGTCCGTATAAGCGGGCATTTTGTTTGGACGTTTTTTTATGAGTTTTAAGTGAAAGTTTATTATTTTAAATGTCTTGAAATCAGCATTTTCTGTCTGGGTTAATTAGAACATCTTTCAAACTTCATCTCACAAGACCTTAGCTATAATTGCTGCCTAAATGGGTTAAAAGAAGTTACAATTGTTATTTTACGGAGTATGTAGAATTCATCATCCATTCCATCATCTAGCAATTGTGCAGTATAAAAACTAACAGTTTCTAGTTGTTATGTACATTTTCATTAGCTCTCACGCATTAAAGGTGTAATGAATCACAATAAAACGTTAGATGTATTCAACGAAATTAAAGCGAAAAATATAAAAATTAAATTACAAAATAATAAAAGATTTTTTTTCTCTTAAATACTCCATACTGGTGCCTCAATAGTACAACCGTGAGCCAACCAGATTTGTACGCTTTCATATTATAAAAGCAAACACGTTGCTGAGTAATACAATATTGCATCAAGTTTGAAACAGTCTCAACCACTTCAATTTATTCCGTTGGCCACTTTGCTTCTGAAACGTATTTATTCTTTGTAGTGAGGCTTTATTCCAGATTAAAGAGGCTCGGAATAGTTTGTTTTATTGTAAAGCCTTTTCGTGTCACCGACATAGATAAATTGCGACAACGGTTGCAACTTGCATGAATTGTTGGTAAAAGATAAATGCATTCTTGTACATGCATTAGTGAGCTCGGATATTTGATCGTCGGATAACAGAAACTGTACAAAGGTTTGTTATGAATAAAATTATGTTTCATTTGCTTTCAGACAATTACTCATCCGAATATTGTTTTGGAACCGGAATTACGTTGACAGTGTTCATCATAGGGTTAGCAGGAAAACTAACTTAAATTTTTAATAAATTATAAAAGGCTTCAAAAAGCAGTAGCTGATATACAAATATTGTAGTTACTGTTCGTCTCCTCATCAACCAGTTTTGCAACTTTTAACTCCCGATTTTACTGATATGAAACTTAAGAAGTCGTCAATATCCTCAGTTGAAAACAACTTAAAACTTCGCTTCAAAATTAAGCTCCCTGAGACAAAATTAAGACAATAATATGAATAGCTGTCTGTGTCTCATTAAATGTGACTTTCAAGCCGGTCCACCAGTTATCAATCACGTATGACAATATTCTACGACTCATCACAGAACGGCTTAATTTCACTTCATAAACATCAGTCTTTACTGGATGTACGTTTCAATATCACAGCTTAATATTTAAAAAAGCTTGGCAGAACTTTGAGTTATAGCTCTTCTCTGAACTACTAATTGGAACAAAATTTCTTGAACTGTCTTTATGATCCAATATATCAATTTGAACACAAATTATTATTTTCTTTATTCCCGGGTGAAAAGTACATAGTTTTGCCAATGTGTTCGATCCCTTTAACTCATTACAATGACATGACAACGACAATTTACCTTTCCGCCCATTATTCAATTCAATTTTCTTCATCCTGTGTGGAAAGTAATAACTTTCGCCACGACAGGTTGACTGTTTGTCACGGACTGTCAGCTGACTGTTTTGACAACATTTTCAAAGCCGTTTTATTTACAACCCAATACTTTTTCCCACTAGTTTCCACTAGGGATTAAGGGAAATAGTATAAGGTACGCGAGACGAAAGTGTCACTGCCACTGCGCGCATGAGGCCTTTGTCTTTGCCTCGGGCGTCAACTTCAAGCTGTGGCGGAACGTCGACATTCGTCTCGCGTATCGTTTATACTATTTTATGAATGGACTGATGCCAAATTCAATCATGCTGCAAGCGCTGATGATTCAGGATGGCGAATTAATAATTTTAATATAAAAGTCTAGTCAATAAGTTAAAATAAAAGTATGAAATATTTTCGTTATGGGGACGTGATTTACCTACTTTATGTTCCAAGAATTATTAGGCATGCTACTGTTTTTGAGCTTGGATATTGGAATCCTAGTTTTAAGTAGTATGTAAGTGTTATTGTTTTGATTGTGCTGGACCTATGTATAGATAGCTTTGCCTACCTCTATAGGATGTTGCTGCCTCAGACATGTTCTGAGGTTGGTGAACATGTATTACTTTGAATTACTCTGGTCAATAAATTACTAAAAATTACTAAATTACCAAATATATACCTGATCTGTAATCCCTTGGGCCTAAGACAGATGATGGGCGAGGTCTTGGTCTGGCGTCTTCGAGAGTTTCCTTTTTTTCTCCTTTGTAAATCTTGAAAATGGTGGCAACACAGCTCAGAATTGCTTTACCATCCTGCAAGAAAAAGAATGTTATTATTCAACTACCTAGATAAATAACTATGGATGTCTTAATATTACTATTATTATTGTTACTACTGTTTTCTATTATTATTATTACTACTATTATTGTTGAGTTTCCAGTCTTTTGTTTCTGGTCCAAATGATTTCAAAAAAGTAACTCTATTGTATATGCTCGTATTTAATGTGAACATTTTCAGATTTTGTCAGATTGTCCGGCGTGTGAGCTATCAAGAAGCAACCAAATGTTGCAACCTGTGTTACATCGCCTAATTTTACGTATTATTTTTGAATCGGCAGTAAAGATTACTTTTTCATTAGGTGAATTTCATTCGCCCCAGTCAATATGTATTCGGTTTTCGAAAAGCGTTAACCTTTCCAAACATTGCAAATTTCAAATTACTTTAATTACGACTTTAGGCTTGCTCCATGGCGTTCCATATGATAAAATTCACACATACAAATTATTCATGCCCAATTAGGATTTCAGCTTATACACACTTATTTCGATATTACTACCCAAACTACATCAGGAAAATTTGTGACCGAACACATTTATTTAAAAAATGAAAAAGTGTACCCTACTTAACATAAATGTACAAGAATTGCTAATATTTGCTTTATTCCTATATGATAAGGTCCGAATTAAAAATAAACAGCTGATATGTCGATATATTGTCTTAATTTTGTGGTATTTCTACTTGAACCCATTATGGCTAAAATAGAACAAAATTGTTACCTGAAACGTACTTTCCGTCACTTCTATCTCAACTCCAGATAGTGCCCTGTAATATTTCCGTTTACCAGTCAAGAACTCTGGAGTAACTTCTAGCTTCTTCACAAAGCGAGGAAGTACCTTTAAAACAAAATATTATAGTTAAATAATAGATCTAAATTTCGTTTAATGAATAAAAGCAAAATATTACATAATATTTCATACATTTTGCTAAGCTAATTTATTAATTAAGGAAAAATAATGTAGAAATATATAGGAAATTACTAGAATGTCTTACATTTTTTCCATTTAGATACCAGCTGATATTTGAAGCAGGGTGCGAAGGATAGGTTGAGCAATTTGCCTTTATGTAATCTCCCATATCCACTAGATGCTTATCAATAACTAGGAGTGGATCTTCTTCTGGAGGATCTGGAAATTTTAGTTCTCTCAGCTTCACACTTGTCTATGCTACACAACAGTTTTTAAATTTACCTACTACATAAATAAATGCCGAACCGACTTTCGTGTCGAAAGAAGGAAAATCAGATGATACCTCGCAGTTGTATTTGCCAGTCACATCTAGCTCAACATTCCGTAACACAACTTCGTTTGGAGTACTTTCACTCACCTGAAACAAACAACGAGATCAAATGTCGTAAAGCAATCAACAATTTAATATTTTATGTTGTAAAACTGCAAGTCGAATATGAATAATACAGAAAGAAAATCGGATAAACCCTAGTTACATATATGTATAATATTTTACAATATATCGTTACATGGATATGAATCAAATCAAAAACTGGACTAAATTGTACCCAAATTCAAAATGTCATTCTATTGTTAACAGCTCCCATATTACAATATGTTGAACGTACACCAACAAAGTTGAAAATGCTACCAAATTTACACTTTCTATGTGGCTCAAAAATGATTGCAGTCTTCCCAACAATGCTGGCAAAAGCTCACACCATTAAACGGAAAAACGACATTAAATACTTGGAGGATCAATCGACAAAAATTAAATCTACCAAACATGCAGCATTTTCAGATCATTTCCATGTGCAACGACCGAATAATGCGTCAAAAATTAAATATTAAAAAAAATTAATAAAATTAATCTAGACTTCTGGACTAGAGAAACAAAGTAGGAGTAAAAGCAACGGAGAAAACGAATCACAGCACATAAAATACCAAAAGAAGTGAAAAAATGCGACGAATCGGGGCCAAGTGGAAATATAATCCTCAAAATGGGTCTAAGCTGAACCCTCTTTGCCTCAAACAATCCCGATTTAGAAATGACCGCTCACTTAAAATAATGGGCCGAAGAACCGATTGGTCAATAGACTTTTTCAGTATAACTTAAGATTTATGTATTACACATAGGAAAATATCAATATAAGCTCCTGAAAATGCAAAATGTAGTCGATTGTTGTAGTCGTTATTTTAAGCAGCAAACTAAACAATCCCAACGATAACTTACTTAAGCGTTAATCGTAAATATACTAAGTAATTAAAGAGAAATCACTTTGAAAAGTAAATTTATTTCTTGAAATGTTCAAGTTTTCAGGTTTCTATTCGGGTCTTTAATGTGTCAATGGGACAAAGTGTCCAGTGCTTTTAACAGTAATTTATCTATCCGAACTGGAGACATTTTGTACACAATAGTTATGTTTAAGAAGTTTAACAAGCGCCATAAGAAATATTTCAAACTGAAGGTAAAACTAAAGCGGAGTGATATCCGTCTAAAATGTGTGTACCCTATGTAAAAGAGGAAAGTTTGAATATTTTTTGCATGAAATGTTCTGAATTTCCACATTTTCTAACATCTAGCATTAAATCTTTTCGAGTTGTGCTGATTTAGTGGCAGCACATAGAAGAACAGCTAACCATCTTGTTTTGGATTTCTGTTGCGGAATATTCTTTCGCTTGATGCGCCAAAACTTGCTGCCACTTGCCCTACGCTTTTTGGCTATCAGAGTTTCAACTTTTTTTCCTTGCTTTAAAGTCATACATAATGGAAAAAATGCATTATCATCTGTATGTGTCTTTCCGATTAACTGCTTCTAACTGGAAAATTTTCGTAGACAATATTTTCACAAAATGAGCTGCAGGCAATTTCCTTTGTTTCTATTATTATTTTAATATGCAAACATTCCACTTTCTAAAAAATGACTAGTAGAAGCACGGAAAAAACAAATTTTACTATTGAGTCTAGCCGTGAAAGCCTACATTTCTGGATCATATTTTCACTTTGAATTGTCATAAATTAATAAACATTTTTTATGTTACATACCCTGTAGGTATCATCAATTACGTTTCTCAAAAAATCGCGTTAGAGAATCTAGTACAGTAAGACTTTTGGGAAGCTTCGACCGTTAAATTTAATTTTCATTAGCTAGCTGCTTTTTGAGAAGGCCTATAATTTTATATGAAAAAATGTAGTATTTTTTATATGAAAAAAAGTTATTGTGTGACAAGATAAAAAATTCTACTTGAAAAGCGTTTCCTGTAATACTAGAAAATTTGTTGGTGCCTATATACACTGATTTAAAAATCCGCTGCTGGAAATGACTATTGACTTCAGTTCATTGTTATTATGATCAATTAATTTAAAAATGTAGGTATTAAACAAATTTAATTTATTCGCTCTAGTATTCCTTTTTCTAAATACAAACGGTACACTTACATCTACATAAATTCCTGGTAACGGAAACACCTTAGAGTCGGGATGCTCTTTTGGTATAAATCTGTAAAACTCATTGCTGCCTTTGTACCATTTAACGGTATACAACGTTTCCCCTTCCAAGTCATAATTGCACTGCAAACTAACGGTGTCCCTTAGCCGCACTGCCTCCGGTATCTTAACCAGAACTTCTTTTAAGCTCTGTAAACCTGAAACAAAAGAAAAATCACTGATTGGTGACATTTCGGAAAACAATATGTTGTGTTATCTTTGGATTAATATTTTTAGTTACTAATTTACAATCAAAGTGGTGATTAGAACACACATTAAAGCCCAACCGAGAATTACCATATTAGATAATGCGAGTTTACTTACACCCTCTAATAATTAGTTTCCAACATAATTAGTATGTGGTCATATAAGTCTTGCGTTACCTACATACACGAGCGAGGAATACATTAATCTTATTAAAATATCGAGGGTTAAAGATTTTGTTACAAAGTTAGATATTCTATGATATTAATTAACACAGCTTGGCAGGTTTAAGTAAATATGATCCAAATTGATATTGCAAACTTAGAAGAATTTTTTTTCAATAATAGAAAGCTATAGGTTTGTTTGTTAATCGTTAGTGAATTTCACTAAATCAAAAACAGGCCTTTTTTGAGACTCAGCTCAGATAAATCTACTAGTATTTTAAATTTCGATAATGTTGATGCAAAAAATGCATACAGCGTGTTTGAAATTTGCGGTATAATGTGATTTGTTTAATGGCCAATCATCAATCATCCTCCGTTTTTCTGACTGTCTATCAAGTTCTACATGCGTAGTAAACAGCACCGATTTATTTCTTGTCGGTAAAATGATATTCACAAACCATAAAATTTTAGTAATTGAAAGAATTAAGAAATCTGATTCTCAATCCTATAATGTTTCTTCAATAAATTCGCAAAATATTTTTTATTAACTAACTGACAATATCCTAAACGGAACTGAAACTCGATTCGAACATTTATAATTACTTCAGCAGAAATTACTGTACGCTCTGTTGTATTTGTTTCAACAACTCCCTAATGTCTACCGGGATCGTATTAAATACTTTGCGTTTCAAGTATCGCCATATGAATTAGTTTAAAGATGTTAAATCCGGAGATCTCAAAGGCCATTCTCCGAGGCAGTTTGTCCGGCAGAAAATACTTCATTTAAGTATTCACGAACAGGTGTTGTAAAGTGTGGATGATGAGAAAACAGAATGACCGAATTCTAAACTATTCTTTTCTTCCTCCACGAATTCTGAATATCCCGCTCTATTGAGATTTCATTTAGAGAAAATTCGTCCTATTCCTCAATCAACAATGCAAACCTACAATTGACTTTCTGGATGTGGCTGTTAAGTGTGACATTCCCTCATCCACCGAAAATTTTTTTTTTGCTCAATAACATTTTGGCGATTATTCTCACCACTAAACATTAAGGTTGCTTCGCCGACAAACAGTACGTTTTATACTTCGAAACTACCGTTTTATACGAGAACCTTCATATTAAATTAAAAAGAATTAAAAAATTAAAAACCTTAAGTGGTCAGTATTGTGTATAACCTATGTGCTGAAGTTGGCCGAAGACTTTATTACAAGAAAACTCTGGGAAATGTCCGCAGTAACGCAAAAAGGATTATGAACATTGGAACGTAGAACGCACAGAGCTGGTAAAGAAAGGGAGCTGCTAGCAGTACTATACAACCACTAGCAAAAATAGAAATGGACATAGTGGATAGTGGCGGTGCAAGAAGTTAGATGGCATGACAGCAGAAACCTAAAAATTCGTAAATCTGTGGTGTTTTTCAGTGGAAATCAGAGTGGTTTTGTCATAAAAATGTATCGACATGTATGCAAACATAGGCAAATAACCAACTTTAATACCGTAATAGGTCAATAGCTTTCTAATATATCAACTGACAACGGACAAAGACTTAACAGACAGGAATTAGCGTGAGGCTAACAACATGCTGATAAAATCCGCAATGTTCCATGTGACCCATAAGATAGACCATGTCGTGGTGGATGCAGGCATGGGAAGTAGTATCCTAGACGTAAAAAGCCTTCGAGGAGTAGACGGAGATTCTTCAATCTACGCCGCTACTCTTTAACATCTATGGCGAGTGGATCATGAGTAATGAGCTCGATGACTGGGAGGGAGCAATCACCATTGACGGAATCAAAATTTGCAACTTGCGCTACGTCGGTGATACGACTTTAGTTGCTGCATAAGAATTGATCAATCTTATACGAATAGTCGAAGAGACAAACAACGCAGTAGACCTGCCGATAAACAGAAAGAAAACCGAAATAATGATAATTGATAGCCAAAATAATAACAGACCTAAAGACCAAAAAAGGATAAACAACATCGAGACAGCAGACGCTTTCATATATCTTGGTACCACAATGTCAGACCAGGGCGGATCCAGCGAGGAGATAAAGAGGAGAAGTGAAATAACGAAAGAATACATGACCAAAAATCACACTATTGAAAAGCCACCACATATCCCTTAACACCAAAATCAGATTAGTTAGGAGCTCTCTGTGCTCAGTGTTTCTATATGGATCAGAATGCTGGACTTACAAAAAGACGGATCAGCGAAAGATAGATGCCTTGTTTGTTGCCGAAATGTTTTGTTGGCGCTGAATGGTGAGAGTGTACTGAAGTGAGAAAAGAACCAACCAATCCATTCTGGACTAACTCAGAATTATGAAGAGATTGAGCATTATGGTACCTGATAAAATAGCTAAATTCTTTGGTTATGTGGTCAGAAGAAATGGTCTTGAAAGACTCACTTTGGCAGGGACAGTCCCTGGCAAAATATCAAGAGGAAGGTTGCCCAAAAGATATATGGATCTTATAACCGGTCTAAGCGGCAAAACCCTCACCCAAACATTCAAGATGGCAAAAGATAGACAGGAATGGCAAGTTATCGCAGAAAACAAAACATGAACTCATGATGCTCGAAACCGAGCAAACAACTGAGAAGAAGATTAAGAGAAAAAGTGTCGGATACCGACACAAGCAATATGATGTTAAATCGAGGAGCGCTTTCAATAAATTCCTTCAGAAAAATGTGTGATCTAATACGCGTGGATAAATAAAATAAGATAAATATCCAGCCCGATCGCAAAATGACTGCGAAAATTCATCTCAACATGTAATAAGTTGAGTTTCTGTATATATTTTTTGCTTTTATATGAACAGTTTTTAACAATTGTGCATTGAACCTGATTGAAGTCACAAATGAAGTATTCATACTTCAAGGAAAATCTCAGTTTCAAAATTACTTATCTACGTTTTCAAAGTCCCACATATCGTTACGTCTAGAATATCACTAGGGGTGAAAAAGTAATTAAACCAAAATGTAAACTAACTTTGATTCACTTTGACGTTGCAGCGGAAAATTATGACACATAGTCGAGACGTTTAGTGCAGAAACTTTAAGTGTCTTGCTTAGTGAAATGTAAAATGGCTGGCAATTTCAAAAGAGAAGTGGGAAAACTTTGCGAAACTCAATGTTTCATAGCAAGCTTTAGTAGATGCAGTTAGTTAACTGGTAAAATTCATAACAAGGCTCTGATTTCTCGCGATAAATGGAATTGTCTTAATGCCTAGAGCTACCTGGATGCTCCAAAACTAGATGCTTTTAAAGTTTTTGGGGATAGGGCTTGGGTATAATTTTAATGGCCTCAGTATAATGGATGCATGAAAAACTTTAGAGGCATAAATTTATGAAATTATGTAGTTTTAACTGTGTAAACCCAACGCATGTGCGCTACATATTCAGGTCCAGCATCATGTCTTGCTGCTGGTTTGCAAATGTTTCCCGGTATGGTTGAATATTTAGCTCAGTTTCAGAAACTGGAAAATAAATCAGTTATATTCAGATTTCAAGTGCAATATTTCAGAAACTCCCTAGTCGATGCTCCTTAAATTTGAAAACAAACTTTGCTAACCCCTTAATATATTCAATTTCTACAACTCGAAACTCGAACATATCCCCAGAGGTTTGATAAATTAATCAGCAAATGGATGTGTCAGCATGGAAGTTTCATAGAAATTGACGCCTTGTGATTTACATGCTGACATCTTTTTAAATCATTAGATATTCAAAACATTTCACGTTGGAGTGACTAAATATTTGTGCTTCTATGAAATAATGATCTTTGCTCAGTGATTTCTCACGGTTCATGTTCCCGCAGAGAGCTAAAAAAGGAAGAATATTCACGACATACTTTCTCCGGAAGCCTTACATGAATAATGTATTCGAACATTTTATCTAATACTTGCAAGTTTGTGCATATGTATCAACTGCTTGTCAAAAGTCTCTTTTAGAAAATCCTAAAATTGTTATTTCCCACTGTATCCTCTGTATGCTACATTGAAGTTTTATTGGTTTAACCGCATTTTTGCACGATTTCGCTTCCTAATATTACTATGTTCCGGATGCTGCTTCTCAAGACAATTGCCTGGCTTTGGCGGACTAAACGTGTTGTACTTACACAGAACGCATTTGCTAAACAAAGACTTGCTAAAATAATTAAATTTACATAAAAAATTTGTATATTTGAAATCACATTAGGTTAGGTGTGATAAAGGCAACAAGGAGATAAAAGCAGAAACAAAAAGAGATGAAATAGTCCATAATGCACATTATTCCAAACCAATACAAGAGAGACTATGCTACATCAGAATAAAGGGGCTATGGTACAACATATCCATCATTTAATCTCACGGACCAACAGCGGACAAAAACGAAGACACCAAAGAGGATTTCTACAATGCGCTGGAAAGAGATTTAGAGAGCATTCGGAGTATACGGAGATTTCAATGCCAAAATGGGCAAAAAATCAAATTTCCTTCCGAGAATAGGCAATCACAGCCTACATATCATATCCAATGATACAACATCCAGGCAACAGCTAATAAAAACTGCAGCAAGCAATGGTATGATAATCAAGTCAACTATGTTCCCACATAACGACATCCAGCAGCAGACGTGGGTATCAAATGGCCACATCACCCGTAACCAGATCGATCATATCATTGTGTATCATGGACGTGAGAAGTCTCAGAGGGGCAGATGGGGACTCAGATCATTACTTGGTTAGAGCGAGTGTCAGGGCCAAAATAACAATACACAAATATAATAAATCAAACATATGAG